CTGTGCTTCCACCAAGCTAGAAGTAGGCAGTCTGTGCTGCCAAGGGCACATGGGGGCAGTGAGAGGAGACCAACCTGAGGTGCAGGTTAGGGTCCTTTTCATCTCCTCACCTGGCCCAGCGCTGCTTTTGTTCACTCTTGGGGCTGCTTCCTCCCATGAGCTCTGTGTGTGCTCAGCTTCTGTCTTCCTTCTTCCCAGGCTGTATTCCTCTCAGAAAGAAAACTAGGTATTTTCATAGCGAGACGATGCTCTGCATTTTGGGGAATACATATGTAATGAAATCCTGATGATTTTTACTGAAATAGTATCTAAACGAAAAAGAATGGAGGGAAGTATGTTGACTAAAAGGAGAGGTTGGCAGGAGGAAACTATTAGACGTCTAGGACGGCAGTGCACAAGAGAGAAGATAGCAGTAAAATTTGCAGGGAGTTTTCTTTCATTTTCCCAAAGGGCTGGTTTCCAGATTCTTCAGTGCAGAGCTCTTGTCTAGATGCTTTTAAGGGTCACTCTTATGTTATTTTACAATACTTTTCACTATCCCGTAATCATACCTATGTACTCACCAGCTCTCTGCCTCACTGTCTCCCGCACTCCTCCCCACCCCGTTAGCTTCCACTGCTCTTCTACCCCTTGGGGGCACTCAGTCTTCTCTCTTGTTTCTTTCTGGTGGGTCGCACTCCTCTACAGAGATCTCCCCCAGGACTTCATCGGGCCTGTGAGTGCTGAGCTAAGGGCTCTTAAGCCAGCTGAGCACCTGTAGCAGAAGCTGGTGACACTTCACATAGTCACCTCTCATAGCTGTGAAGTTAGTGTGGACTGATGTAGGGGATATAATAGGCCTACTTGGAGCGGGAGGGGCAGAGGGTTTCTCCTTACCATGACAGTACTTCTTCTCTCCACCCTGCAAGTCCTTCACCCAGAACTTGGTAGGAAAACTAAGCAGTTATTGTTTGCAAAAGCCCTCTGTCACTTTCTCACTCTCTAGGGACTGTATGGGCCCATCACTGAGGAAGACCCTGGCCCACTTTTGTGCATATGCTGCATACAGTCTGCAGAGGACTTGGGGCCTCAAGTCTTTTCTCCTGATCATTGCTAGGATTTGGCTGGCTCCTTGGTGAGCAGAGTTTCTCTGAGCAATAGCAATAGGAGGAGGAAAAGCCACATTACTAGCCTTTCTGTAGAAGGAGCAAGCTTCACTCTTGATTGGCTGTCTCTATTGTTCACTATTTGTAAGCCTATTTGTGAGTGGAGTGAGAGGGTAGTAGAATTTTCTTCCTGCCCAGGAGAAATCTAAGCCCAGGGCAGTGAGGGGCTCTGCAGAGCACAGAGTATATGTGTGAGCATCACCTCTGCATTCTGCTGCCTCATGGCTGGCAGCGTTATCCATGCAGAGCAGACGAAGTAAGATAAGAGCACCAGGCAAAGGAAGACAGGCTTTCAGAATGCTCTTAGGTATGATGACCATGTTCAAGTATGAGCATCCCTAGAAGCAGGTGGGAAGGACAAGCTAAAAGCAGCATGCAAGCCTTGAATGAGCCACTCAAGAAAGAAATTCTAAGTATTTCTTTACTACATTCGTTATTTAGTTAACGGTCTAAAGTAAAAGGGTCTAAAACTGCCAAATTCCTTATTCCTAGTCAGTGTGTAACTTTTAATTCTTTTCTCCATCTTGTATTTTATAGCCAGAGCCTGAACCTTCTCGTCGATTTTTTGTAGACCAGTGGGAGCTTTCTCTTAGTCTCCGCTCCTCCAGCCACCCCGCCTCTCCCTCCTCTGACTCCCTCCGACAGGTAGTGGGCCTGGAACTGGGCAAAGCTGTGTTTCCTCTTCAGCCTCTGCTCACTTCACCTACACAAATGCCATCTAGCCCCAGGGAATTTGCAGAGTTCTTTACTTTGGCCTGTCTCCTGTAGGAAGTCAGAGAGTGTGTGTGTGTGTGTGTGTGTGTGTGTGTGTGTGTGTGTGTGTGTGTGTGTGTGTGTGTGTGTGTGTGTGTGTGTGTGTGTGTGTGTGTGTCCATCTGTCTGTGTGAGGGCTATAAGCATACACCTAAGAGAGGCTACTAGCCTTTGTTGTATCAAATTCTGTTGCAGTAAACCCACTTTCATTATATTTCAACTAAATGAAATAATAATAAACATATTTTAGCCATTATCTTTTTAAACTCCAGATGTCTTTATGTTAATACGTGTTACAAAGTATGAACCATGGTGTAAACAAATGGAGTGACGAAGATGCAGTATCTTGGATGCTCTTGAATTGTCATTTAAAGAATGAACCCGACCATTTTTTTACAGTGGAACTGATCCAGTATAGAGTAGTTTATAGAGATAAGAGGGTCTTTTTGACCTTCCTGTTTATGTTTCCTGTTCTTGAGCTAATAGCAAACCATGGAGTATGTGTGTGGAAACATGTGTATGTGTTCTGGCAATAGTATAAATCCAACAATTGCTACATTGCTACTATTTCTTAAGAGTGAGGGGAAAAAGAAACCATCTGCTTTTCAGGCCAGAAACAAATAGAACCTCTCTTTGGGGGATGCTTGTCAATATTATCACATCACTGAAAACTGAGTATGACAAATGCCTTTGCACGCAGACAGCCCTGGGCTATAATTGCTGATTACAGATGTAATGAGGATGCCAATTTCTGGTGGGAGAGAAGGGCTTGGAACAGTCAGGACCCAAGGCTTACTCAGTGTCCCAGCCTCATATTTGACATCTGGTCCATGCTTTCACTTATCTATTGCACAATGAAAGAAGTGAAATTTTCTGCTCCCTCGGTGTCAGCTATTAAATGATCTGCTCAGCTCTGCCTGGTATCTGTCTATTCCAGGCCTAAGCTCTCCTAATGTCCTTAATCTAAAGAAGGTTTAGCTTAAAGAGCCACTTGTTTTTCTCAACCACTAATGGGTATAAGCTGTAAAGTTAATGAGCAAATGGCACCAATCCTTGGCAATCTCCTTATTTTTAAATAGAAAATATAATCGACTCCTCAGTTCCAACTGAACCTTAGAGAATTGTTTGCCCATTTATGTTTTCGTTTTCTCATGTTTACGTAGAGTTTCCTCCTAGAGTGCTTCTCATTTGTCCCTGCCAGCCCAGGTCAGTGATTCTTCCACATGTGGCTTATATACTTGTCCATTCGAACCACTTCCTATCCAGGATTGTTGGCATCCCCAAGACAACTGCTTCTGGTGTGTTCTCAGTAGGAATTAGAGTCAGGCTCCTCAAACTTTGCAGGCAGCACCCTTATTCTATATAGTTCATGAGAGGAGTGACACATACACTAGGTGTCTTGGCCATCTCTACATGGAAGGGTGACCTGGATGTGGAGTCTCTAAAGGATTGCCAGCAAGACTTTGACCTCATTCCCTGGAGACAGGCTCAGAGCTGGGCTCCATAGCAGGAAGGTATACAATTGAAATTTGATAGTTTCCTCCTGTTACTTCTTCAACATTGCTAGAAGGAAGATTGAGTTGGTTGGACTTTTTCTTTTATCTTTTTTCAACCTATTAAACAATAATCTCTTCTGGAACAGAAATATCCTGACTTCCCAAGACAAAACTGAGCAATCTATCTACATGCTGAAGGTCTTAGCCTCCTGCAGTTATGTGTGAGATACCTAGCCCAGTCTGGAAGGCCTTGGCCTTAGAGCCTGGGTAGAACACATAAATATCAACAGAGTGAATGGGCTGAGAAGGGTTCTTCCGGATAAAGCTCAGGAATATTTGATGTATATGACAGGGGTTATGAGTGAAGCATTAATAATGAGAAAGGAGATCATAACAAGTAATACTAAACTGTTGGCATCCGTTAGTTACCCAAGTAGAGAGTCAGCCTTTGCAAGAGTGAGCTTTCTAAATGAAGAAATAACTTCCCCAGCCTTCCCAACCCTTGAGTAATGCTGTCAGTCTGGCATCCACTATATGGATGGGAGTAGTTCCTCTCAAATTCTCAAGATGTAATTTGAGTCACTAGGATACAGGTACTTCTTACTCTTCTGTATTTTCATCCATCTTGTCTTCCTACCTCCCTTGGCACCGTATCTTCCAAAAAGACATGAAAGACTAAATTCTCCCATACTGAATTTAATTATTCCTGCCTATGCTGATACCTCTGTGTGAACACTGACACCTGTTTTTCTTACCACGAATCTCCCTGCTTGTGGACACTGTGTTGGCATGGTTTGTTTTCTGCACATTATATTCATTTTATCCTTTCAAAGAGGTTTTTTCCTATCTTAATTTATTCATTTTTTTCCCTCTCATTTCCCTTTATTCTGGTCATTTTATAATCTCCAACCAATAGAAGTATATAAAGATGTACACGGGCGGAGTGAGCTCATTGGCTGAGCAGATAGCCAATCAGCTTCAAAGGAAAGAACAGCCCAAAACCCTACTAGACAAGAAGGAACTGGTAAGAGATATACTAAGGGCTCTGTCTCTCTAGAAATAACACAGCTATGGTAAACGAACCTAGTTTGTTCTAAGTAGCTTAGTGACACATAGTGCCAATATGTGCCATGTCATTTTTTTCAACGTTGTCTAAATTTTGTAATTGAATTTCTAGAACTAGTTATTTGGGATGTTGTATGGGAAAGCATACTTAGTATCTCTAAAAGTGATTGCCCTAGTGTCCAGGGGACCCATATCCATTTAGAACCACATGAATACTGAATATATAGTATGTTACCTTTAAAAACAATTCTGTCAAAATAATTTGGTTTGATTGTTATGAAATTCTGTAATTGGGTTTCCTCTTGGCTGTTGATTCAGAACCCACCTGGTACTGAGTGCTGTGTGGGGCACGTGACAGTCACTACAATAGTGCCACTGCTCTTTGAGAGAGCCAGAAGTAAAGTGAGCAGCTTAGTCTGCTTCATAACAAAATCGCTTAGGATCAGTTTCACTTACAGAGAGGGCCGTGCACCTCTTGAAGGTGAGCCTGAGAGACGTTGTCTTGATGTGTCCATCTCCGCACCCCCCCTACCCGCCACAGGGCTCAATAAAGAAGGAGTTTCCGCAGAACTTGGGAGGCAGCGACACGTGCTATTTTTGCCAGAAGAGAGTCTACGTGATGGAGAGGCTGAGTGCCGAGGGCAAGTTTTTCCATCGGAGCTGCTTCAAATGCGAGTACTGCGCCACCACCTTGCGCCTCTCAGCCTACGCCTATGACATTGAGGACGGTGAGTCTATTTTACTTGAAACTGAGCTTAGGGCACTTTTTTCCATTTGAGCAGATTTTAGGGCCCCTTGCTATGTTCTTTTATATTTTTTTCATTCTGCCTTTCATCCATCTCCCTCTATTCTTTGTTTTGTTTTTTTTTTCTCTAAGGCTCTTATAAATATTTCCCCAGAGTCACCAGGCTGCATCATAGCATTACTCAGTGATAATGGTAATGAAAATGACATGCATTTACCTAAGTCAATTCCTCAGTTTCACAGACACTTGCTTTCTTTCCTCATGGTGGGATCTTAAGATAAAAGGGATACATGAGGATACGTCTTTTTTGTCTTTACTTTTGAGAAGGGGAATCACAGGCCTATAGAAGTTACATTTCTTGCCTAGGTCAATGACAACAAATTGAAACCAAATTCCCTACCCCTGGGTTCTCAGACTTTTGCCTCCTGAAGATGATGGAATTCCAGTGTTCCCACTTCTCTGTAGCCTCAGCATCTCTCTGGTGAATTGAGAGCTCATGGCACAGGGTAAAACCTCATTTACTGTGGTGTTCAAGTCCTGGCCTTTTGTGATAGCGGAAAGACCTTTATAGGGCAGAAGGTAGAGAATTGTGCAAACAGATAACAAACTCTGATAGATACAGATAACAATGCCTGACATCTGAAGAGTCTTTAAAGTTAATTGAAAAGGGTCACCAAAGACAGTGGTGATTCCTACACCCATTCCTGCAGGATGCTGAAGGAACTTAATGAGAGGCAGTCTTATGATTCAAAAGGGATGAAAAGACCTAGATTAATTGGAGAGTGAAGTTTATCCTTGTAGAGTTGGTATTAAGTCCATTACATAGATAGGTGGTTTCAGGAGTTACAGGGCACAGGAGAGGGACATCCTGCGATTGAGAAATAGTCACTTCAGTCATCCAGGCTCTCCTGGTAGTATATAAACAGGCTGTCAAACTGTCAGAAGTAGCCAGAAAGGAGCCAAAGTGGTCAACTGAGAAAAGCTAACTATCCATTAGGCATCTGGTCCTCTTGTTAAATTAGTAAAAAGCACCACCCAGTGAAGGAAGAATTAAGACAGTTGTCTAGATAAGGAAAGTATGTTGTTAGGTATCATATTTCTGTTCCACTATTCTCACACACCTGTTCTTTGAAAAACCCCTTTGCTCTCCAAGAATAGGGTTTGGCGGATGGAGTCCACCCAGCATTGTTTAATTGTACTTAAGCTTGGATTGTTTTAATGTTTTACTGCAAAATCTGCCTGGAAAGAACCCTTAACCTCCAGCAAATTGATCCACAGGTATTTTTGCCCATAGATTGTGTGCTCACTGTTGCCTTATTCTCTTAAGGACATAGAATGTAAAATGTGCCTCAAGGAACTTACATTATGATTGGAATGATAAGACATGAGCAGTGAAACAACAGACAATGTAAAAGTACTTGATTAAGGGCGACGTTGTGTAGTGCAGATTATAACTTTGTGGAAGTTCAGAGGAGGAAGAAATCAATGAACTTCAGTAGCTGTTCGGAATGATTGAACTGACTTTAGGCTGCTCAACCCTAAGAGAAAAGTAGAGGGAAGAGATGGCATACCAGGCAAAAGATGACAGGACCTCTGTGGGAATGACCGTGATGTTGGGACAGGATGAGACAGACCACTGTGGTGAATGCATTGCTGTTGACACTGAATCAGGGAGGACAGTGGGTCTAAACCAGCTCCCCAAACTTTAACCCAGATAAACTTTTCATCAGCTCAGCCCTTCCACAACGGACAGGTGAACTAGAGAAAAGAATGGAATTTTAGGGGTGCCAAAGTTTTAGCATAGTCTCCAGCCAAGTTACTATGTGATTCAGAACTCTAACTGAAGCACCTCAGATAAGGCTAGCGCACTAGCTATCTCCTCTCCTGTAATGCACTTCCCCTAATCTCAGGGTGGGCTTCTTGATTCACATCCCTACTTACATATTCCCTCCTCACTACAATATTCACCACTGCTTAATACTTATTCATACATCACCTGCTCCATCCGAGCAAAGACTAGTCCATCTTCCTGACTAGAACGTTCTCAGTGTTTAGATTAGTGCCTGTCATATAATAGCATTAAGTAGGTTGTTGAATGAATGAATACATGACCCAGTTTACCTTATGTTTGCCCTTTAGCCCTTTGTTTTCTCCAGTTCCCTCTTCCAGTCACTCCCATATTTAATTACCAGCATTCCTTCATTTATTTAGACCATTTAAAACCAGTGACTTGACTGAATCAACTATAATTAGCATGGCTGTATTTTCTAACTGAGACAGGCATCATAGTTTAATGGCTAAAAGTACAGACTCTAGAGCCAGGCTTCCAAGCTTTAGATCCTGCCTGAATTGCTGAGTGGGGCCACTTTGGGCAGGTTGCTTAGCCTTTCTGTGCCTCAGCTGGAGAGAGGTAGGTAATAGTACCTACTTCATTGGATTTTGAGGTTTAAATGAGTCAATAGATGTAAAACGATTATAATAGTGTCTGGCACATGGCAAATGTAGTTAAAAGGTAGCTCTTTTGTTATTCATCTAAGATGCAAAAAGTACCACCAAGTTGATTTTGGGAGAGGGAACGAGAAGATATGTTAATTGAGTACCTATTACATGTAACGTGTGATATCTCATTGACTTATCTCAGTCCAGGAGATGAGTACTATCTTCATATTCTATGTGAGGAAACATGTTTCAAGATGCTAAATAGTTCACATAGCTATTAAATAGTTAAGGTAGTATTTAAACAGATTTGATTTCAATGCCCCGGTTCCTTCCATCATGTTGACTGTATTCCTAGGAAAAAGAAGTTTCTGGAATTTTTTTAAAAATCAACTTTTGCTTAGGCTTGTAGGACTTGTTTTTAAAACCTAACCCTCTTTTCTTTATTAGTAGAATTAAATGAGGATTCCTTGGTAGGTTAGCCTATATTGAGTTGTATTTTAAAGTCTAGGATTCTACTTTAGTAGAAAAAAGCACAATGATGCAGGAAAAAAAATAAGAAAGGAATGAAAGTAACTATAACAGATTGTGTTTTTCTGGTACTATAATAAGCAATTACAAATAATAGAAACCCAAGTCAGATTGAAGTTGAAGCATTAGATTTACATCTTCCTTCCAGATAGCAGCCTCAGAGAAAGGCTGCCTTTCTCTCTCACCATCCATTTGAACCCCCAGAATGGCTCTGGTTAGCCTATCTCAGCCACATACCAGTTCCTAGAGCTTTACATCTTGGGGTGGGCTGGAGAGAAAGAGAATGTTCTGACTGACCAGTCTGGGTGACGCGTTCACTTCTGTGGTGGATAATGTCAGGCCACATATTTAGAATCATGTGGAGGAGAGCGGAGTGTTCCTTGAAAGGAGATGCAGAGGGCAGAACCAAAATGGCATAGATGATAGAGGCTCTGTTCATCCCTCTGGTGACCAAATCAAAGTCGTGATGGAAACAAGGAGCAGTAGCAAGGAAAAATCACCTGGGATCTTGATGAACAAGCCATACAACTAAGGAGAAATCCAAGAAAGCACCCTGCAACAGCAGAAGGTAGGACAGGACCTGGACGCGGGGCTGCCTGGTCCCGAGCGGCTCAGTGAGATGGAGGCTGCGGCAGCGGCAGCAGCAGAAGCCTCTTATAAGGGCCCCATCCATGAACGGATTTTCGTGGTGACAGACCTGAATCTTAACAGGTGGCCCCAGCAGGGTAGAGGCTTGGGCTAAGTTTGGCCTGCAGCTGAACCCCTCTCAAGACTGTGCCACTAGACACCTACTTCACAAATCCACACTAATAAGACTGGGAGACTTAGGAGCTTTGCTTAGTACATAGAAACAGACACGGAAAGGCAGGCAAAATGGGAAGACAAAGAAGCAGACACCAAGTGAGAGAAGAGAGCAGATTCAGATATAGAGTCAAGTAATCTAACAGATGCAGAGTTCAAAACACTGATTATAAAGATGCTCGATAAACTTTTGGGAAGTGTAGATAAATTCAGTGAGAACTTCAACAAAGAGATAAAAAAAACATAAAAATGGAAATGGGAATTATAAAAGGGAACCAGCCTGAAATGAAGAACACATTATCTGAGATGAGAAGTATATTAAATGGAATAAACAAAGAAATAAACAAAGTGGATAAGGAAGAGGGTCAAATGCCCTATTTGAGGACAGGAAAACCAATCAGAACACTCAATCAGAATGGCAAGAAAAAAAGATGCCAAGACTATAAAAATAATTTAAGAAGGATATGGGACACTATTAAGGGTCCAAATATCCATTTGATCAGCGTAACTGAAGAAAATCGCGATGTTGAACAGCTGTTTAAAGAAATAATGATGGAAAACTTCCCTAACCTGGTGAAGGAAA